CGACCTCAGTCACGCAATCTCTGACTAGATGACCCGATTGATAAGAAAAACTCGGTATATTTTTTGTTAGTCCTTAAGATTCAGTAAAACACATGCACTGCTATACTGATTAATATTTTTTTAATAGTACTGTAGACAAAATCCAACTGTACTGTACTTAAATCTAACTTTTTATTTGGAGATACTTGGTTTCGAGTAAGGACGTTCCAAGTTTTATTAACATGAAATTATGACGTCACATACGGAATTTAGACAAACTTTATGCAATTATAAAAGCTCTCGTAAAAACGACCCCAAGCCAATTTTGATATATGCTTGAGAACAACATGTTGGCATGCTTAGGACCAATTTTCATGCAAATCTGAACTATGGCACAATATGAAAACGCGCATTTTGTTAGGGACCTAATTTCAGATATTCTCAATGATAGAAAAGGAGCTGCTTTCGAGTCGCCTCAAATACTATGCAAATTTAACTTTTCAAACTTTTTTGCCGTAGATTTGCTGTAAAAGAGCAAAGGTTTTGATAAGTAGCTTCAATTATTATTTCTAGATGGTTTTTATAGAACATTGGAGCGAAGTTTTGTTGTTTATAATTCCGAGCAAATTTGCATAAAATTGCGGGTCATAATCAATCAAGGGAGCGATAATCCTCGATTTTCTCGAAAAGAAAACTTATTTTGAGGAAATAAACTATACCAGGTTTCTTATCTCACTAGGGACTATTGATTTTGAAAAAATAAAGAAAATCGATTTTTTCACTCCTGCCACCTTCTGCTTGATATTTGTAGACAGCTACTCTTAAGGAGTTGGCGTGGGTTCAGATTAACCTCCCCGCAGTTTTATATAGCGTGGTTGCTCAAAGGTTGCGTTAATATTATATTTATATTTATTTAACTAAGTTTCATTGCACATCAGCTCTTCAGAGAAGACACATATGCCTCCATTTCAGTGCACTCACTATGGAAAAATATTTTCGAGGGCTTATGTGCCTTCTCTGAAGAACTGATGTGCAATGAAACTTTATTAAATGTAGTTAAATAGTTATAGAGATGTCCTCTTGTTCTGCTTATTTTACTCATGCGCTGCTCATTTTTGCTCCTGCCCTGCTCATTTTACTCATACTCTGCTCACAGGGGCACCGTCATCATTGAAAACAATTGATATTAACAATGAAACCAAGGGGCAATAGATGCACTTTTATTTCCCGCTGTTTAAACAAAGAACATTTGATAGAGGGTATTAACCTTGTCAACCCAAGAAAGGTGATCCAATCAAAACCTTGTTCTGAAAATAGTTCACAGCCTCATTAAATTCATAAACACAACTTTTTAAATTCTTACTTAAACAAGGGGTCTTATCATGTTCATGTATACATTTGTAACAATTCCCAGGTTGGGGCTTTTGTCATTCTGTAGGGAAAAATAAGTAGATAAAAAATAGTCAGCCTATTCTTAGTTCTCGTAGTGTTAATGCGTTTCATCGCTAAGTACGTGTACCGCCGTATCGTCGTAGGAGAAAAATTGCAATAGTTTGCAATAAATACTCAACAGTAGATCAACCCCATGCAAACTGAATGAAATCATGGATTTATATATTTCCAAAACAATATATAAATGAAGTATCAACTTATCAAAATGGTGATTAAACAAGAATTTTAGAAAACGAGCCCCCTCTCATTCGTTCCTGAATTTATTCTTAAATCAGGAGTGAGGTGGGCTGGCTCCACCAGCTCCGGAAATCGTGGGGGAGGGGTGGTAGCCTGACTTCGCCTGCTCCCCTCTCCACATGGCGTAGAGCCGCCATTTCATATCTACTACTCTGATTGGCCTGCTGTAGCTAGTTCGAATCTCATGACCTATCGTTATCATAAACACACTCGCAAGGGAATTTCATAGCTCGCTTTAAAAACCGAAATGCTTCATTCAATACGGTACTACAGGAGTGAAAGAAAAAAAGAAAGAAAGATACTTATACATCATTGTAATTTTTGATTATCTCACGCGTTGGCTGGAAGCATTTGCAGTTACCACGCCGACGCGCTGACAGTTGCATGCGTTTTAGATGTCGTCACGGTGTACCTAGAACTCTTTTCTCAGATCGTGGAAACACCGAAACACCGAAACACCGAAACACCGAAACACCGAAACACCGAAACACCGAAACTTCGAAACAGTACCAAAACATCAACTAAAAAAATACATGTGAGCTTTTTAGACCAAGTTCCATCATTTTGGAAAGTTTTAGAACGTATATTATCTTGGCTTGTTTCCTCATTGTTTAGCATCGCATGTTCAAAGAACAGATATATGATATTTGGCATAATCACTTATAGAATACAAGATGTTTGTATAGGCTGCATGACACTTTGTAGTTCATCGTTTACCGCATCATTTTATGGTTTAAAAAATAACCATCTTTTTAAAGTTTGTAAAAGATCTTTTGTTAAATTTAAGAACATAGATTCATCGGGTATTAAAAACCCGACGACACTATGTTTGACACAGGTATTCGGACCCAAGCAAGGGGGAAGGTGGTGGTGGTGGGGGGACGTGTGTGAAAAAGGATTGAAGAAAAATGATGAAGAGAAAAGACATAATAAGACACATATTAGGGAGATTAAGCATAGGCGACGACGTTTCGCGCGACGAGGACGGAATAATGACGTCATAGTTGAAAAACCCAGTTTTAGAGCAGTTTTACTTTCCACGACGGACTTTTCAAATCAAATATACATAATTATATTTTCGAAATCAGAATAAGAGGCTCTACATGTAAAAAATAACTTTTTAAGTTAAAGACATAATAAATTACTTGCGTTTACTGGTTTACTTATAAAGACATGCGCAATACCTATATATTGGAACTCGATTTTGTTTTAAATCCTGGGGAAGCAGGCTTATATACCCATCACTGCATTGTGACATTTTGTTTCATTTCGTGACATTCAAAATGATAAGCATATGAGAAGGGAATGAGAAGTTTTTAAACATAAAAGATCTTGAGCATTTATGTCAATTTTGAATTATCATCAACTTACTTTTTTTTTTTTTTTTTTGCTTATTATGTAATAGCAGTTCTAAAGTAAATTTGTATCATAAAATTTCATAATCAAAATTGGTTGCGAATTAAAAAATAATCCAGTATCTCCATGGAGCTCTTACACTTATTTCATTTAGTCGTAGTTTTTGCTCCTTTGAGGGATATGGTCGCTCAACTAGTTACTTGTCACACCTTTACAAATTTTCTGTGCAAACAAAGACGAGGCTCTCGGATATCTAATTATCCGGGAGGAAAATTCCCTCTGGGTCGTTAGAAGGTTTTCAAATGTTTAGCGTTTCCATGCTTTATGTCCAGCATTTTATGATTTTTAATGTGTTTTTGCTGGTTGGATTACAGTTATTAAAAACGTGACTTCTGTTTCTTGAAGGCAATTTTCTCGGAAAAGAAATTCCCGTCGGAAAATCGGAATTTTTTTCGTATTAAAGTTATTTTGAAAAAAAATATATATATATATATCACATCTTTAATTTTATATTTACATATAAATAAATAAAGTTGAATTTGAAATAAATACAATAAAACGCGCAGATTTGTGGAAAGGACTTATTTAGCTCACAGAGGTAGTTTTGTAATTTACAAATCATTATGATAAAATTGCTTTAATCTATTTAGAAAATGTAATCAATCTAGGCAATATGAATATTACCTGAAAAAAATTTACGTTGTTTAAATTCTACGAAATAAGTGTGTTCATGGCTTAACGGTTATTTAAAGCATAAAGCCTTTTCGTTCGTCCAGCTGGTATCTATCACAACTTTCGAAATCAAACTTATATTCCTTTCTAAAATTTATATAATCTCCTGTTCATAAAGTGACATTATATGATAATGGTCGTAAAACATTAAGAAGAATAACAAGATCGATAAAACTGGATTCGCCTACAAATCGGGCATTTTGCATTGAAGAGAAAATGGCGCATAGCATTTCATTGTTTCAGCCCCACCGTGAATTGTGGTGAAAGGTGTGACTAGGATTCTTTAAATCAATAGCTTCCAAATAAACTTGACCAAGATGATCCTAGGATGGACGATTTATTGTGGAAAATCTCTTTTTGATCTTTGGCATTTTCATACAGAAACGTTTTCTTTTGTGCCGTATATTTTCTATATTCAGAGAAAATTGCATAGAAAGGATGAAAGCTGGTGGAATTGAAGTTTTAAAACTTTTGCTTAGTTTTTAAGCTTTTCTTTTAAGAAAGTCCCCAAAAGAATCAAAATATTCTTTAAAATGAATTAGAATACGCTATTTTAGCTGACAAATTTTGCGTTTTGGCGTCTAGAGCCTGGTGAATTCAATGGTCAAAAACAAAACTAGCCCCTGGGGTGGCGTGGCTTGTGGTTGGTTATGTACACGTAACAAAATTCCAAAGCGGGACAGTAAGGTAGAAATTAGTTGTTACCAAAGTCCGGCTCCTATAAAGAATTTTATTTGAAAGCCGGACTCTCATACACTTGAACTGCTCTCCAACATCATTTTTTTCTGAGAGTTTTGGAAAATTCGATAATCTTTGTTCATTTTCCTTTTATTTTTGTCCTGATTTAAACTAGAGCTGAAAGAATCACTAGAGCTCAATGGCATTTTTCAGAGTTACAAAAAATAGATATCGCAAAGCCTTCTGGGATCGAAATGCGGACAAAAATTGGAAATAAAGGCTTCAATTACAAGGAAAACAAGAATAATATCAGTGGTAAAAGCATAGTTCTTCCATGAATTGAAAACAATAAGACTACAAAACATGGCTACGACATTATAGCTWGTGCACTTGGCTTGGCTTGTCCGCATTTCAATCACATGATGGATACTGTTTGTGACGTCATCTGTGGAATACGCTATTTCATCGCATTCGGAGCGTTTTGAACGTACAAGGCCGGCGAAGACGGAAGAAACAAAATCCCAATGAAAAGAGAGAGAGAATAAAAAAGATCTGACACTTTATCATTGACTTAATGCATAAAATTTCCTTTTCCGTTGAAATACTAAACATCTTCAAGATACAACATTATCTGAATGGGAAACTTTTACATAATCAAATGCATGCCTCTTCATGAGGGGGCAATGACAGCCCAAGAGCCACACCGTTTAACTATTTTAATTTTTCTCAAAGTCAGGCTCTCCTTCATGGGTTTATTAACGACTATCTTTCCGTGGGTACAATAGCAGATATCGGAGTCTAATCTGTTGCCTTCAAACAATTGTTTCAAGTCGCGGCATTTGGGTCGGTATAATGAACTGTATAGAGACTGACCCAAATGTAACACTGAATTGTTCAAAGGCAATAGAGTGTTACTCCGATATCTGCTATTACCATGTAAACTTTATAGGGTGAAAACAGTAAACTCTTGCGCAAAAATGTGAATTTGACTAATGCATATTACTAGACCCTAATCCATCGTTTTCTTTATTGTCTATTTAATAGCACGTTGGCTATCATTTATTCTATCTTTTAGGTTACACGGTAATTTTCGCTACATCGTGAAACAGTTTCTCAAGGTAGGGGTAGTAGTAATAGTGTATAATAGTCAAATAGAGAAAAAACTAAGAAAACAATGGAAATGAGATTTTTTTTTTTTAACGGTCTGAGGATAATCGCTAGATAATTGCCTCCACTCTACCCAAGGGAAAATAAAAAGATTTTTTTCTTGCCTTAAAACATTGCTTTGATGCGTTGAAGGTAGTTACAAACAATTCTAGTTTGATAGTAGTATTTCTGCACTATACCTGCATTTGTGCCTATAGAACAACCATCCTATTAACTGATTGTCAGTACAACCAAGTAGAAGCTTTATAAAAAATTGTGGACGGTAAACATAAAAATTGTATTCTAGAAATTGCAGACGTCATTTTGCAAGACAACATTTGTTTTTTTACCAGTTTTTTCCTTATGTAATGAATCATATTAATAAGTTTACAATGTACCTGTATTTTAAGGTTGTATTAGTTCGACAGTGGTTTTTTCCATATAGTTTCATATATTGAGCTCACTGTATTCGGAGGGAAACTTCATAAGTTTTTCGTATCGGTGCGAGTACATAGAGAAATGTATTCACAGAAACACTCATCTTATAGCGTAACATGATTGTGATTGCCTATATTCTCTATATTACCAATACTTCTCATATTTTCAATATAGTTTTCATCATTATAATGATCTGTACTAAAGCCATCCAATAAATGCTGGTCAACAGTTGACTTTTCTTTGAAGAAATTGCTATTTTTTATACTAAAGTCGTTGGAATGTTCCCAATTCAACGGCTGATTTATTCTACATTCATTGGAAATACCTGGAACTTCTAAGTAGCTTTGTTGGTCTAAATCAACCTGCATTTCTTCTCGTGAACAGAAGCCTTCATCGACTGTTTCAACTCTGTCCCAAATATCCTTTTCGACGCAATTAGTGTTCCATTTTTGAAATTTATTATCCTCTTCATTGTTTTGGTCATCAGTTTCTTGTTCGACCAATGGTACATCCTCGCTGGCTTCCATTTTGATTTGAAAACAAATTTCTGATTCTTTTGATTTTTTTATGATAATTTTAGAGAAAGCTTCTTGAAAAGATGGTAGCCGTTCATTTGAGTCGAATGTATAGGAAATGAAAGTAATTTTTGCATCACAATTTTCTGGTTCAACACAAGAATCTTCCTGACTTCCTGAATCGCTACATTCTGATGAATCCCCAGTCATTTCCTCTTGATTTATCTCAATTTCTTGCCTTTCTGTTTCTTGTAGCTTCTTCAATGCTTCTGTAAAACCGAAAGCAAATACTTCTTGCTCTTTTGTGACGCCATTGTCTTCACAGTGTTCTTGTTTAATATGCTGTTGTTCTGGTAATGATCCTGGTGTTTTTAAAGTACTGCTCCATTCTTTCCACACTAAATTTTCTAGGTCAGGCGATGAAATCCCAATATCAGGTGAAGTCAGAAAATCTGCCAAGTCACCAAATCCTAGCTCATCCCTTCTTGCAGCAATGTCCAGATTTTTGCCATCAGCGCATAAATTTAATTTTAGTGACGAGTTATCCAAGCCCATCGGCGGTTTTCTTGCAGTCGTTAGAAGGGTCGGCTCATCGTAAAACATGGTCTCCATCGTAATAACCGGGTACACAATAAAGCCGTTGAACAAAACTATGAAATTTCGGCGCAGATAAATATGAAAAATACCCTAAAGTATTAATGATTTCACGGGGAAGTAACTCGTAAGAAAAATTCTAGATTCTTATTGAATGTTGCTTCATTTTCCACGTGGAATGTGATGTTTTACTAACTACTGCGTGGCAATATTCTTTCATTTTGTGCCCTTTACAGGTAAGTCTTTGTTTAGTGCTCGGCCGGTTTTAGCACAAGCTCATATCTGATTGGTTCTATTTGATCTCAGCGGGTAAAAACAAGCTACTTAAACATTTATAATCATATATATTACTTCGAAAAATCGAAGCTTATTGTCCATCTATTCATAAACCATACACCTTTCCCGAATTCGATTGGAGTGACCACGAAACAGCAGTTGCGAGTCGAGGTTAAATTTCAATAATAGAATAGAGTAAATATACGAACAGTTGAAGTCCAACTGAATCTCGATCTGGAACTATTGCGGATACTTAAGGATAATTCGAGAAAGAACTATTAACGCCAAATAGCTTTATTTTATTGCTTATGATACAAAACGGGAACATTTAGAATAGTATACCACATTTCAGCTTCATATCATTAAGCCTCCTCATATTCATTGCATTAAAATAGGTAAAGCTCTCAAAATACGTAATCCAATCGTGATTTTTCATTTTCTAAATTCCTTGTCACTGGCTGAGGTAAAAGATGATAATGGATGAGAACTTTGGTCAAGGCTCGAACTTGGCGACATTCAACAAGTCAAATAGCGATTTTAATTTTGCTAAATTAAATTAAATTTGCTAATTTAACAGCCATTTTGACACACTAAGAATTTTGGTAGCAACTTTTTAAGAGTAACAATTTATATTTGTCTTTTTTAGTAAAACCACCAGCATATCTACCAAACGGATATGGATGGGTGGTGAAATTTATCAGTTTACCAGCCATTATATAAGTTTATAATGGAAAAGAGTAAAAGCGTCATGATAGTAAAGCTATGGTTAGGATAGATGTTGTAAATGCTTCAGTTTAAACGTTGTAGCCAGGAGATGTGTACATGAGAGTGCATGTACTCCCTAGTAGTACTCTGATTATGAACGAGCACAAAAGTCATTTGAGATATGTAAAGGCTAGTTAAGAAATTAAATTTATATGTTAAAATAGGGGCCTCAAGGTTAACTCTACTTAATTTTACATATAATGATTTGTATAGTTGTATAGAACTTTGATCATCAATAATTAATTTGATGTGGTTATCATTGTTTTGCCTGGTATCCATCGGTTAAAACACTGACATTTCTAGCAAATATTATATACTAAGACCATTCATTCGTTTAAAATCCAAAATATTTTCCTTGCATTGGGAACTTGTAAAATATCTTTTAAAAGTTTGCTTATCAATCCTGAACATATATTGAGTTAGCCAATAAATCTGCAGGTAGAGATTTTCAAGGGTGCACTCACGCTGATTTGAATTTTTTTCACCCCCGATGTTCGAGCCGTGAGGTCATAACTTCTAAAAATACCTGTTAGTAAAACAAAATATGTCCTACACTTTATTTTTTCTTATTACACCGACTTCTGACGTCTGCCGGACGTTATTAGGCAGATTAAGATTCCCGTGTTTTATTCCCGCAAACGGCAAACGTGACCACGTTTTCATCGTTTCCCTACATTTCATTTACCTTTGGCAAACCTTCCCGACAAAGACATATATTCTTATTTTTGTCTACTACTTGGAGATTATTGCCATTGGAAAAAAATGCCCATACATTTGGGATATTTGCTCTTTTCGGTCTTTTCCTTCTCTTTCCAAAGCAAAACGTTGCATTGTTCTTAAAAGTAAAGTTATATAGCACAATTAAACTGCGTGACAAAACATCCTAAATGACCCGTAAATCTTCTGTTCTTTCGCTAACTAGTAGCTAGCGTGTTTTCGAGGCTACGAAAACTAAGAAACCATAAGAGGCGAATGTATAGGCCAACAGATAGTATGAGCTTATAAAATCAGCAAAAATACGGTTCTAAATTTTAACAAATTCCAATGAATTATATACAAAAATGTTCAGGAAAGCCCGGGGTTTTCAAATCCACTTCTGCTTTTTCGACAGGTTCTGTTTTACATCAAGGAGAGACGATTTTCCGCTTGACCCCGGTTATGTCATGCATTTTCTCTTGTAAAATACGTCCAATAGAGTACATTCAACTCAAAAAGTATGGTGGTTTTTTTCAATAGAATTCAATCTAAACCATATAACACAGTCCGTGAATAGTTGAATTAACTGAATTCACTTCTGTTTTTTTGCCTATCCAAAAACCGTGTTTTTGAGACATGGTTTGTATGGGCTCACATGAGGGGGCATGAGCTTGATATCATAATAATATAATAATAATATTTTATTCATATAGCGCCCTTTCCTAAAATATCCAAAAGCGCTTTACAAACAAATAATAATTAATAATAATAATTAATGATAACAATATCTGTAATATCAAAATCAAAAAACTATGTAATCTAAAAGTCAATAAGATTTAACGAATGATCAATGAAAAGCTTTGCGAGATAAATATGTTTTGAGATATAACTCTTGAAAATATTTAAAGATGTACTACATTTAATTTGCAGTGGCAAGGCATTCCAAAGCATTGGAGCAGAAATAGAAAAAGCGCGGTATCCATAAGACTTTAGATTWTAATTTGAAACCTTGARTAACCTCTTAGAACYAGATCTCAAACAGCGTTGAGGAGCATAAGGCTCAAGTAAATCGCAGAGATACTTTGGCGCAATACCATGGATAACTTTATACGTAAAAAGAAGAATTTTAAATTCGATACGCTGCTCAATCGGCAACCAATGCAGCTGTACTAAAATGGGTGTGATATGCTGAGATTTGCGTGATAAGGTAACCATCCTGGCAGCAGTGTTTTGTACATACTGCAACCTCTGCAAAAGATGCTTCAGTAAACCAAAAAGTAAGGCATTACTATGTACTTATTGTCTGAGTGGGAGGGCCGTACGGGAAAATATTTGGCTCGAGGTCATGTCGTACGGACCGAGCGCAGCGAGGTCCGTACAAATGACCGAGAGCCAAATATTTTCCCGTACGGCCCGACCTAACTCTGTCAATAAGCATTTTATCATATGACCCTCACGAAAATAAAAATAATTAAGAAAAAGAAAGCGCGCGGATTCGAGCAGGGCCGGACGGGTTTTTCCGGCCCGCTTACGTCAACCCGTCCGGCCCCCATCACGTGACTTTTTCCAATGGTTTTATTAGAGCGCGCGAGCAGGGCCGTACGGGTCATATGATAAAATTATCTAACTTATTTGTAATGAAAGCGTGAATTAATATCTTAGTGGTTTCAAAATTTAAAAATTTCCTAATGCGTGAAATGTTTCTAATAAAATAAAAAGCAGATTTACAAATCTGAGTCATATGACTGTCCAGAGATAAGGTATTATCGTAAATAACGCCAATGTTTCTTGCACACTCTGAAGGAGTGACAGAGGAACTAGCTGACCAAATTTTAACCGATTTTTTCTGATGATTCCTTTTCACTAATTCTAAAGAATTTTTTAATGGTCAACTGACGTTTCACGTTTGCCGTAAACGAGAAGCTTAACACTCTAATATCGACTTATATGTTTAAAATGAATGGTAAATACAACCACCAACGGCAAAATACAGTCTATAAATCATTTTAAGTGATTAAGATGGTGTTGATTCTGATTATCGCCGCTCAAACTTCGTTAACCTCAGCAGCGTCAATATGTGCGCATTTTCTTAGTATTTGAGATCAAGGTAAAGTACAAAATAATGAAAACCATTGAAAAAATCCAAAATGCACTACATCGTTTTCTTCGCGAGTCTTTGTTTTCGACGACCTTAATACTCTCCCATATAGGAATTTGGTCGCGTGTACACAATGCAACTCGCCACCAACCACCCCACGGGCTAGTTATTTTCCTGAAATATTATTCGAAAAAGTTTCAAATGCCCTTTTTTTTTTTACGCTTTAAATTACTTTTATATGATTTCTTATGGCCTTAATGAAAACTAATGCTTTTTACATTAATTGAGTTTATATCAATAAAGTCATCATTATTATTATTATTATTATTATTATTATTATTATTATTATTATAGTGTCTTTCGCAGGCGTTATTAGTTTCGTCTCAGATCCCCACGACCAACCACCAAGGTATGGAAACCCTTTAGCTGTGACTACCTCTTGGTTTTGTCCACTTTGAAAGGGATACGATCTACATAAAAGATACGCTATATTAGCGGAGCACCGTACTTAAGAAAAAATGCTGACGTCACTTCCGTCCGTATTTACGAACAAAATTCCGGATGTGACGAAGACTAATTTTTACCTTTCTGATTCATTCAAATTGGGCTACCTTTGACTTTCGTATCGGGAGCTCTGCTTTTAGGCAGTGCCTAAATATATATATTACACCTCGTTTAAATTAACTCTTTTGGATTGTTTCTCTCGTTAAAAACCCCCCAAAAATAAATAAATTAAAATCTCTTTACGAAGACAGCTGTTAATAACTGCAGTTGCTAAAATACACCTTTGGTCCTATGGATAACTTTGATTTCAATATATACACTTGTAGTTATATATCTACAATTCGTACTGTTTTATCATTATTTTCTTTAGCTTTAACTTAGCTGAACTACATTAAACCGACACTAGAAAAAACGTTTGCGCATGCGTGCATTTCAGCACGTTTTCAAAGAATTTTGAAGAGTTTGAGTGAAGAAAATAAATGCTTGTTTTCTCCAAGCATACAAAACAGTCCGAGAGTATACTTTTGTCAGACCAAGATACGGTATTAACAAACACAATATGAAAGAATTAGCCTTAAGATTCAAGCATGGGCACTAAGTTTTGGCATTTTGTGAAGTCCAATTTATCAGGCGTGTTTAAAAGTCAAATGAACATATGATTTGAAGCTGAAGTGTTTAAGCTTGGAACTCATTGGACGAGGAAATTAAAAAAGCCTCCAGCATTTCTAAATTCAAAGAGTTATTAAAAGACTCAATTATCAAATCTTATAGTACTTAACGTTATTYCTCCAATATTCTTCATCCTATATTTTTCTATAACTTAAATTTATGACACAATAATGTTCGTTAATCTTATATCCCATATATTTTTCTTGTATTGTTTACTTTCGAATATATTTTTTCATTGCACTATTACATTACAATTATTTAACTTAAGTATATTTATTGTTTTATTTTTGCATACTTACATTATATATATATTTTTTTTCCTTGTGTTTTGTCTCTTCCTATTTAATTTAGATGTAAATGACCTAAATACTTGTTATTATCTAAGATAGTAAAGCTAACTGTCCTAGTATAGCCCATATAGGTTAATTCCAGTTAGSTTGCACCTAAATATATGGCAATTTATCTCTTTGTCCTAACTTATCTTATGTGATATTTATGGTGCTAAATAAAAGATTGTCATTGTCATTGTCATTGACTTATTTGCATACGGATTCAGAGCATGCGCAAACGTTTTTCACTCGTGTCCAATATACCATTTTCGAGTTACAAATTACCGCTGTGTTCCTTGTTTACAGACTCACTTACATGGGCTTAGCCTCGATTTTGTGTAGAATATTCACGTGTTCCATTCAAAGTCCGTCGAGTTTCAAAGTGTTCGTATTGTTGAAGTTGTGCATTCAATACTTTACCGTTGGTATTTGTAAATATTTGTAATTTTTTTTGGAATTCGAGTTTGTTCTATTAGAGATTCTCGTTACTATGGTATGGTTACCAGTGATACTCTTTTAAGGGGTTCGTTGCTATGGTTCCAGGTGACATGGTTTTTGCAAAATTTCTAAATTTATTTATAGTGTTTCGCTGCTACGGCTACATGTCACGTGGTTCTTGATTGATGGATACTTTAAGGTTGCCATGGCTACATGTCACGTGGTTTTGACGGGTGGTTCTCGTTTTAAGGATAGTCTATAGTTTTCTTCCTCTGTGTTGAAGGACGCGTTGAGGAGGAACTGTCGTACGTCGGGGTTACTGGCAAAGTCGTACTGGACAGCAGCCATTTGGTACTTGATCAGCTGTAGTTCAGTACCTGGAGAAAGAAGACATGGTTAATCCAAACTTATCCAGCTTAGTTGACTTTGTTCCCCGAAAGGAATTAAAATATTTTTGGTTAGATTTTTTCCGAATAACATATGAATATCATAATCACCAAAATCCTAATCATCACCACTTCCATCATCGCCATCATTATCATCATTTATCATCGTCATCATCATCAACGTCATCGCCAATCCACATCATCATAATAATTATTTGATTAACATCTTACCTATATGACTAGTTTCTGTATATTTCACAAGTGACTGCCACTTCTCCTCGTCAAACGTCCCGGACTCATTAAGTCTTTCAGACGAGCATTCCCTCGAAACGTCCCGTGAGATGGCCCGCGACAATAAATTACAACCATCCTTGATGATCGGTGTACTGATACTCTTCCCCATGACCTCATCGGGCGAGACTGACCCCTCACCAATAGACTGTGTACTAAAACTATGCCCTAGTACGCGGCCATCTTTGACCGAGTTGCTACTGGTACTTCGTCGAACAATTCCGTCTAAGAAGAAACGTCGAGTCTTGGAAGTCTTGGAGCTCTCGGAAAGCCGTCTTTTGGGCTTCCCATAAAAAGTCCCTCCACTGAAAAACGATGTCGTCGAGCTCTCGGACAGTCGCCTTAGCAAGGGAGGTTTTCCGGATGAAGTAGAACGGGGAGTATTTCCAAATCTCCATGAATCGGGATGCCCATTCATGTTGTCGGAGTTCGTAATTACAGAGTCTGAACTTGCAGGAACAAGCTTCCCTTTGAAACGGCCATTTTGGACGTCGAGAATATCAGAGTTGTTGTTTCGATTATGGTTTAAATTCACTGTTTCACTATCCGTTCTGTTCAATGAATTCAAAGGACTAATTTTTTTGGAAACAAACTTATGTGTTGAGCAAATTCTTGATAACATCCTTCAATAATTCTTTTAAAAGCAAACACTAAAGTTCAGCAATCAACCAAGCGTAAATCTTCCAAACTCTAAAGATATTCCTCATGAAACTCAAGAAATACTTCGAGTATTTAATGACATAGTATCCAACACAATGCACTTAATGACGATAAACGATGAACAATAAGACCTACTAAGTTCTTCCTAATTATGCAAAAATCAGCTGAAAATGCATGATTGGTTCTGTTATCTTGTTCTTTATTATATAAACAGCGATCATTCTATTTCATACTGTACCATAGTACAATGATTCTAAAATTCCCTTGGCATTCAAGCTTATTAATGCTGTCATATCTCTTTTCTTCAATCATTTTTTGTCACGTGATAAATAAGACACGGCATCAAAACAATTTTATGAATGCACAAATCTAYAGGAAGCCCATATCCGATTTAGTTATTGAAAAACACAGAAAGCCCATGGCCAATTCTTATTTCCACGGCCAAGACCATTTGAAATAGCAAAAATTACTGATTTTACAATAATCTTAAATTTGCTTATTTTTTCTATGATTGAGGGTCAATGAGAGGTCGATGTGAGGTCGATGAGAGGTCGATGAGAGGTCGATGCGAGGTCGATGAGAAGTCGTTGTGAGGTCGGTGAGAGGTTGATGAGAGGTCGATGAGAGGTCGATGAGAGGTCGATGAGAGGTCGATGAGAGGTCGATGAGAAGTCGATGAGATAGGTCGATAAGAGGTCGATGAGAGGTCGATGTAAGATCACCTCCTCTCCTCCTGCTATCAGGCTATCAATAACTTAGTTAACAGGCTATCAATAGCAATAGTAGCACCTACTCGAACAGTATTTTCTGCACAAACAAGCGAAGATCGACGAGGAGAACAGGGTTTCAAGAGTCAGAATTACGATAAGTGATAGTAAACAAATATTTCATTCAGTATGACTCGTTATTCTCTTGAACTTGACAATATAGTCTAATAACCTATACTTATGTATTTATATTAACTGCTTTGGCTTCAAAGTCTATTCACAAAGGAACATGAGGTACATAGCAATATTTATTTTAAGATTCTATTTGATTTAAGAAGCAAAATAAATAATTTGCTACGCATATTCCAGGGTTTGATCTTTGCCGTTCGAAGCGTTATGATCTCCTTTGATTTTTCTTACTTCATACTTCATAAGAATGTTCAACAAAACCGTCCATTTCAGTCATCTGATTCCACATCAGAGCTGTTTTCAGAAGAATCAGAGTCGTATCCGGAATCACTAGACAGGAATTCTGTACTACTATCACTGGAATTAATTCTTTCATCCCTTGGTGTTTCAGCAAGAGCAAAATTAAGGACACGTGCTACTAGCGCAGCTTTATTTCCTGTTAATACGTTTAGATTGTTCTGCTTGAGGTAGATCTTTAGTTGTTTTGCTGTCAGAGCTTTGATTTCGTGTTCATCTTTCCAGTTAATGTTTGGAAGAGTGTTTCGTTCAGCTTTTCTTTTTTGAGCTTTCATTTCAAGAAACTCAAGATGTTGCACAAAGCATTTGAGAGTGGTTTCATCAACCATCAATTTCTGGCACACCTTCTGCATTTTATTCACGTTGCTTTTATATACATTTCGACTTTGGCCATGTGAAAAAATTCTTATAATCATTTTAATATTTTCTACATATTACAGTCATCATAATATCAATCCATTTAGGTCATATAACATATATCCGAGGTAAATGAGGAGTCATTTAAAATTCTAAACGAAATTGAGAAAATTTTGAATATTTATCGCATCGATTGAGCAATATTTTGGACCGTGTCCAAACCACGAAGCTGCAAATCAATGTTCCAACTTTCGTTTATTCGTATTTCTTGAAAATCGAAAAGAAATTAAATATAGGTTTAGAAAGAATCCTTCTATCGCCTCTGTACTGGAATATTGTTTTCACAGCGTTTGTTTTTATCCTTTTTCTTACTGTAATTGTGCGATATCACTGCTGCTATGAGAAGTACAGGAAAAGCCCCGGCGTCCCGAATCAAGCTCAATACCAAGGGGTCTGCCTTGTTTTTGACTGCAAACTTAGAAACGACGATTCCGTAAGCACCAAACCCAAACTGGATGAAAATCAGGGCAAGGCAAACACACCAAGAAGAAGCCATAGTGATGTTATGAAAGGGTGAGAGAGAGATATTTAGTGATTGGGAGCCTTGTGGTAGGGGCTGCTAGGGCTTGTCACACACTTATTATAGTCCAGTCACGCGGAAAGAAAAATGTCTGGAACTGAAATTTGTCTAAACAAAGAGTAAGATGGGAACTTTAGCTTTTATCTGTTATGTGCTCAGATAATATAAAATGGTATTGATAGACATCGACTTGGATTTAGGTCAAGGATTAGGAAATATAATGAGCGATATAGGGAAATAGAATCACCAACATGGGATTTCTCCAAGGTTCATCACTAGGACCGGGATTCAGGTCACCGGGAATGGGAAACTCTAAGGCTGCGTTCATAATGTATGGGCGGGGGGGGGGGGGGGGCAGGTGAAAATGAAATGTCCAGAATAATTCTCAACACCCCCCGTAAAGTCATGCAAAAAAAATACGATCTCCCCTAAGCAAGGCTCGTAGCTTTTTCCACAAATTGTGCATCCCCCATTTCTCTGATAAAAATTTGCCCATCCCCCCCTACCAAAATTTTCCCTATCCCCCTCAATTTTACCTGCCCCTCCCCCCTCCCACTCCCACTTCTGCCATACATTATAAACGCAGCCTAACATGGTATTTCTCCAAGGTTCATCACTGGGACTGGGGTTTAGGTCACTGTGAACTAGAAAAAGTATCACCGACATGCGGTTCCCCAGAGTACATCACTGGGACCCAAATTTTATTCACTGTTTAGACTCACGTGTAAAGCTACAGCTTATTTGACTTAAAATTAACAATTAAACAATTTATTTAACAATTTGTTAATAATTATTGAAAATTATTTTATTTTATTTCATAAATTATTTTATTGTCGAATACATTTTATTTTATCAACTTTATTTTAGGATGACACGTAATTGTTTTCACTGACAAATCTGTAACCCTCCAAACAACAAAACAAAAACACCTTTATCCTTTTACTCAAATTAATCATTATTTAATCCAATGCTTTGCTAGTGTCCATGGTTATGTTTTCAAGGCGGGGTATTTTAGTCTGTAATCGAAAAATAAATAAACAATCCATGACAAAGTGCATGTTGAATGTTGTATAGACCTCTTTCATGTGACGTCAAATCAGCTCGATCTGGAGGACAAAACAAAAGGATTCCAATCTCCTGAGAATTGGAAAACTATTGTTATGACCTGCAGATTGAGCTGCATTCCGACGTACTGCAAGGAGTCTATTCCAAGGTTGAAATTTTCTTGACTCATTTGTATTGACAGCACGGGGGAAAATATGATGAAAAATCGTGAAGACAAATTTCAGGAAAACTACATATTGTTGTGACCTTCCGCTGATTGCATTCACATTGTAGTGAAGTTCGGGCTTGGTATGAACATTCAACAAAACCTTCATCAATAGTCCCCTTCACAGTTCCTTGGGCCATCTTGAAAGGTAGCCGTGCCTTCGCAGCGAAGCGAGACAAACGGTGAGCTTGTCATAATAAAGACATGTGAATAATTGTCCAAGGTGTTTTAAAAATGTCTCTATCGTTGCAAGCTCACCGTTTGTCTCGCTTCGATACGAAGGCACGGCTACTTTTCAAGATGGCGCAGGGAACTGTGAAAGGGAATATCACATTAACCTTTTCGTAATAGGTATAAAATTTCAGTTCGACACGTATCGTCTTTGCCACCAAAAATGTTTTCTCGCTTTTTCGGCTTGAGAATGTTTTCTCATTTCTGACCAGGTGTCATTCCCTAGAGAACCCTTTCTTTGTTTAACGGTTGCGCATGATATGGATACAAGTACTGACACGAGTGAAAAACGTCTGCGCACGCTCTGAATCCGTATGCAAATTAGTCAAAACATAAGTAAATTTGACTTTCAAACATGCCTGATAAATTGGACTTCACAAAATGCCAAAACTTAGTGTCCATGCTTGAAACTTAAGGGTAATTCTTTCATATTGTGTTTGTTAATACAGTATCTTGGCCTGACAAAAGTATACTCGCGAAATGTTTTGTGTACTTGGAGAAAACAAACAAACATTTTCTCACTCGAACTCTTCAAAATTCTTAGAAAACGTGCTGAAGTGCACGCACGCGCAAACGTTTTTCCGTGTTGTTGATACAACTAAAACAAAAAACTTATTCTCAAGAGAATGACACGTGGTCTCAAATGGAGAAACACTACGTCCGATAAAAAATAGGTCTATTACGCATGCGTGCAGCCTGACTATTAACTGTGGCGAGTTCTAGCCGTGCATATGACTTCTGATAGAGAAATACAGCATACCATATAGAGAGAGAGCGTTTTCACGTGACGACACATCAGCCATGTTGTCGTACCAAAACAATACCTTTTGTTATCTCCGGGAAATTAAACTATATTTTTTTGCAAAAATTGCCGTGCAGAAAGTTTCTATTGTTTGGTGCATAAATCTGACTGTTTTTTCACGGTGAAAAGCAATTCCAATGTTAAGAAAAAACTGTGTCGAGTTGACATTTTAGTGCATTGTGGGCTGTTTTAAGGTACATATTTAAACAGCCCCACAATGCACTGCAATGCTAACTCCACCCTGTTTTTTTCTCAACCTCGGAATGGCCAATAGTTTACCTTTGCAGGAACGCTGGAGAATCTCTGCGAGCTTGAGGTAGACAGAATAGGGGCTACTGACGTCCTCTACGTAGTCGGGATCTCCCGAGGCAATGGTCAGCAGCTCATTATCGTTGATTTGATTGCCAATAGCAACAGCGATGACGCGAACGTTCTTTTGCTGCGGATTTAAAACGGAAAATTAAATGAGTTTTCAGCTCTGCTATATCTTCTAATGTTTCTCTTTCTCTCCTTTGCTGTCTTCTCCTCTGCTAGCCCTACTCTCCTCTCCTCTCCTCTCCTCTACTCTCCTCTCACAACTTTTGCTTTCTATTCATTTAACGCCATATTCCCATTCATTCCATTATTTACCTTGAGTGGGGCCAGCACCACACTGTTTAGTTTGCTGTCGGAGTTCGTATTCCCATCAGTCAAGACAAGCAACACATTCGGCTTGTCAGATCTGTCTCCACCAGCAGTGGTAAAAAGTTCGTTGGACGCCATCTCTAGAGCCTGTGAATGCTTTTCCTTGCGGATACCTGATAAAATCCAAAGACGTTTTAGACAGATTATAATGCGACTACTATACATAAAAAAAATAGAAAACAATACTTTCAACTTTGGGTATAAAGTGGAGCCAATCAGAAATCAGCAGAAAACAATAGCGGCCTTTCAACGTATCCTTTTTCCCCCACGAGAAAATGACGATCGCTACCTAATTGTATACACTTAACATCAGGGTCAAATTACCATTCTCGTGCAGTCTAGGTTTATGATTGGCTGGACATTGGTTTGTTTTTGAATTCATTCTACAATTTGATTAGTTCTCGCTGTCTAGGTGGCCCCGGTTATAGCAGTCGCAACGTAAAAACGATAATAATTGAGGATTTACGCGATGCAACGGCCACATTTAATATTTTTTGGTCCTAGTGATGATTCTATTGTCCATTCCCCCTTAACATTTCAGAATCCTATGAGGTAAAAGCGTTTAGAAATCCCGAAAAAGAGCGGGAAATCTTAAGTAAACGCGCGTCTTCGCCGTAAAGCTCGGGAAGTGTTGACTTCCTGTAAAAAGTCCGCCGCGCTTTCACAAAAAAGAAAAAAAAACTCTTGACTTCCGGTAAATGGTACGCGCGTCTATTAACCAAAAATGCGGGAGATTCTGTCTTCAGGCAATGACTCACTTGATTTCATCCAGTCTTGCCGCCAGTTTCTGATAAGAATAATACGCACTGTCAGACATGCTGAATTCTACTGTAGCATTGCAACTGTAAAGGATTAACCCGACATGGGTTGCCTTTGGTGAGATTTCGAAATTTTTCATCAACTGTTTGATGAAGTCGATCGCAGCTTTGAAAGGATCGCTTTTGACGCTGGTGGAACCATCAAGGATAATACCGATATCTAGACCCTTGGTGCATGCTAGAAAAGAAATAAAAAAATGTTAGTAAATACATCTTTTAAGGAGAAGAAGGAAGAGGAGGTCAAGGAAAAACAATTTTTACCAGCGAATGATAAATTTTTGATGGAAATAAACGTGGATGATTGAGCATGTAAGGAAGTGTTTAACGAAATCAAGCAATAGAATACTCTATGGTCAAGCACATGAGGAGCAGTGTTTGCCTGTCATTATACATAGGCTGGTAATATATATAATATATATGGACGCATCTGTGGATGGATGGATGGATGGATGGATGGATGGATGGATGGATGGATGGATGGATGGATCAACTCACTTTCTTTCACTTTCAACCTATATACGTAGTTAGTCCAGATTCCACCAATACATTCTAGTTGTTTTCTCTTATCGCAGTGAACATTCTCTGAATGGTAGATATCCTGATAACATRTGTCGCTATTAGCAACACCATATTTGGCATAGGTATTCTCGCCACCAGGCCCGCTCCAACACTCTCCAAAAAACTGCAGACCAAACACCTTGTAGCCCTTTGCTTTTGCTTTGGCAGCACATCGACAGGCTAGGCTGAAAATATTGAAAAAAATATGTAAATACATTATACTAAGTGCAAACCTTATCGAGCTGATTTTAGAAAAAGATGTTAGCCAATCAGAATCGAAAAAATTGCAATACTAAGGTGTCACTTTTCCTCTTGAACTTATGGATTTCCCAGGCCACCAAATGAAAAAAAAAAAAACGTAATAAGTATTACGGTTGATAACACTGACATAATATGTAATGATTTTGATATTTTTATTGCTATGGTGGGCATGTTCTTATCTTTCGCTAGTCAAATGCAGGCTTCATGACAACTCGGTTTTGAAGTGACGTCATTTCTATGTCACTACTTCTTTATTAATGAACGCTTTGCTTTCGACTAACCCATTCTTTTGTCTTCTGATTGTTTGTTTTTGTTTCCTTGCCTACCTTGTTCTCATTGGTTACTTTTGTTTTATTCTATCATATAAACACTCCTTTCTACCACCTCTTTCTCTTTTACTCCGACGAAGGACTAGCGTCCGAAACATCATTAAGTTTTTTCATCTTTTCACGGTGTATAATTTACCATCTTATCATTACGGTTTCATTAGAAACACCGACGCAGCTCACACTAATTTTTAGCTAGTTATCTCTACGTCAGATTAGTCATAATAATAACAATAACAATACCAACTTTATTGGACATGGTACATCGTTAGTGCTAGCAGACCGATAATGTTCAGGTGACCCTCATTAGTTATACTATATAATGCAGCTGAGCGTTGAACGCGGCGCGCAAAGTATGAGTGGACAAAATGACCGGCCCCAAGCATTTACTGAGCTTGAAAGAACGAAGCAAACATGGCGATAAAGTGAAGTTGTTTTTATTCTTCCTTTTCCATATTTCTGCTTTTTGTAGGCAACTATATTCCATTTAGTCAAAAGAAAACAGAAAAATACGCAAAAGTTGGGTAACAGTAACCTGGGAATGATGGCCGGCGGCAAAACAGCTAAACGCGCTGTGATTGGCTGAAACCAAATCCGCCGCTCAGCTGGATCTAACAGTTGTCTGACTCAAGTATGCGAAGCCGTCTGCAGTATGTCCGAGAGGATTCTTGTGCTACTAGGTACTAACCTATGGAGAGATTTATCGTACTGTTTCCAATCAATCATGTGACCACTCCAGGCCGGGTTGGTCGGGTCACGGTCGTTGACGAGTTCTTCTGGTAACGCTCGGTCCTCTTTGTCACAGAAGCAGCCAACCTTCTCGTATGGGAAATCACACGTGGTGAACGTTGTCGCTGGAAGAAAATATGAATACGGGTTACCTGTGATTACCCAGTTCTAAAATTCCTATATGTCACCATCACGTGATAGAAGCCATGACAAGAGGTACAACAATAGTCTTTTCTTCCAGTGAAACTGAATTCTTTCTCATGTAAATCAGATTAGATCAGATTCAATTGTTCCTGCCTCCGGTCATGGCTGCCATCATGTGATGGTGCAAAGCCTTTATACCGTTCCTTGATTACAGACTCTTGACTCTGTGTTATCCTCGAATCATTTTATAGACAATCACACTTCAAAACAAATCCACTGACCTTCACTGGAGCACATGAATATTCTGAACAAAACCAAGGCTACCCAGGGCAACAGGGAACTCGAAACTGAAGAATTGCAAGACCAAATCTTGTGTTCAAGTCATCCAACATGGCGGCATGATTTCCCCCCATTCCAGACCACGTGTCATTCACTTGAGTATCATTTCTTTGTTTGACAGTTGCGAATGAGAAGACACATGAATATGGATACAACTCAAACAAAGAATATTATTTTCAATAGAGTGACACATGGTCTGAAAGAAATGCTATTAACAATTTGTCTCTGCAAACATGGAAGTAGCCACTTTTTCCTCATCTCATTCCCTAGAAAATGAGACTTGCTTTGTAATGGGAAAACATTGCACCTAGACGAACAAGGTCTTCTAAACATACCTTCACAATAGAAGATCGTTGTTAAGGCTAGCACTGCAAACGTCAGCAATGTGGTTGTCATGGTAATAATATCTATCTGTCCAATCAAACTATATCATATTCTACAATTATTTATTTTGAAATGGCATGGTTTAATAGGATAAGTATTCAATTTATTTAATTACGTCAAATGATTTGAGAATATGGTTAATTTAAACTTTATAAAAACTTGATTTTAACCTCTCTAAAGCCTCAACTTTTGGAACAATTACAAGTTTCAATATATCCTAAAAATTCATAAATTCGAAGTCAGAGATGCTCGGAATATTCTCAGAGCAAAATGTTTCTCGTGGACATGCATCCTTCAGGGAATGGCCATTTATTCCGAAGAGTATGAAAAAGGACAGCAATAGACCTCTTTACCTTAGGCGTAATGATTTCCCATTACAGACTACTTGTCATTCCCAAAAGTATCATTTCTTTGTTGAACGGTTGTGCATGAGAAGACACATGAATATGGATATACCACTCAAACAAAGAATCTTAATCTCAAGTAGTCTGACAAGAGAATGACATTTTGTCTGAAATTGGATAATATTACGTCCCAGCGTAAAGTGCTTTTTCCAAGGAAAAGAAAATCTATTGACAATTTGCGTATGCAAACAGGGCATAAGCAAAGTGATCACACAGCACTTTTACGAATTTGAACCGGTTCGCTTTTTTATTTTCGATTAGCGCAAACAACACTAAATCCATATAAAATACAATCATGATAGTGCAGCGTCAACCGCAGCTGTCGCTTCATTGATATTAACTGAGTGATAAAGACTAATTGTTAACTACATAAAGTACCTATTACTCGCTAACAATTTTGACTTTCGTGTGAAGGATTTATTGTTTGTGTTCTATTGAATGAGATTGTGATTTAGGCCTAATGTTTATGACAGGATTACGAGCAATCGTTTCATTTAAACAAGAACTGCTAGCGTCTGGCGCGAAGGACAATTGAATGAAATATCTAAGTTTAGGAATCGTTTGATTAGAGAGTGTTTATTTAAGGAGCACTGAGTGGATCCGTTGTGCTCCCTGTTTTGTTCTGTTCTGCCTTAGTTATCCTTTTTAATTTATCTGTTCTGTTCTGTTCTGTTCTGTTCTGTTCTGTTCTGTTCT